ATCAAACACAGCTATAGACTTCCAAGGTATAATGGTAGAGACTGAAGGGCTGAGATCAAGTGTGACAGGAACCCAGGGCTTCTCCCTTTCCTTAGCTTTTTTTTTTTTTTTTTTTTGTCAGCCATTGGTCTTGAACTCAGGGCCTGAGTGCTGTCCCTGAGCTTTTTCACTCAAGGCTAGTACTCTACCACTTGAAACCACAGGGACACTTTCAGTTTTCAAGTGGCTAATTGGAGATGAGTTCCACAGACTTTCCTGGCCAGGCTAGCTTTGATCCTGAGATCCTCAGATCTCAGCCTCCTGAGTAGCTAGGATTATAGGCATGAGCCACCAGTGCCCAGCTTCTCTTCAGCTTTTTTGGTCGTAAGGCAGATACTCTTTTTTTTGTCAGTCATGGGGCTTGAATTCTGGGCCTGGGTGCTGTCCCTCAGCTCTTCAGCTCAAGGCAAGCACTCTACCACTTGAGCCACAGCACCACTTGCAGTTTTCCAGTAGTTTATTGGAGTTAAGAGACTCAGACTTTTCTGCCTGGGCTAGCTTCGAATCACAATCCTCAGATCTCAGCCTCCTGAGTAGTTAGGATTACAGGCGTGAGCCACCGGCACCCAGCCACACACTATTGTTTTTGTTGGTCATAGGACTTGAACTCAGGGCCTGGGCGATGTCCCTGAGCTTTTTCACTCAAGGCTAGTGCTTACCACTTTGAGCCGCAGACCACTTCTGTTTTTCTGGTAGTTAATTGGAGATAAGAGTCTCATGGCTAGTGCCGGTGTCTCACACCTGTAATCCTAGCTACTCAGGAGGCTGAGATTTGAAGATCTCAGTTCAAAGCTAGCCTGGGCAGGAAAGTCCGAGAGACCCTTATCTCCAATAAACCACTAGAAACCCAGAAGTGGCACTGTGGCTCCAGTGGTAGAGAACTCTCTCCTTGAGCTGAAGAGCACAGGGACAGTGCCCAAGCTGAGAATTCAAGCCCCACAACTAACAACAACAACAAAAAGTCTCATGGACTTTCCTGCCTGGATTGGCTTTGAACCACGATCCTCTGAGTAGCTAGGATTACAGGCATGAGCCACCCTTGTCTAGCTGATGCCTCAGATTTTGTTGGCTTTCTGTTGTATGCCCTTTGACCTCTCATGTGTAATTACAACAGGCTTCCGACCTAATTGAGTTTAATTTCAGGTTAAATTTGTGGGCCACTTTATATATTAATTGGTTAAAATGCTTTTTTGTACTTAGCAACATAGAAATGAGTAACTAGAAGATAGGTGACAAGGCTCACAACTATTATTTAGCTACTTATTTAGGAGGCTGAGATTATGAGGATCATGAGGCTAGAGGCCATCCTAGGTTAAAAAAAAAGTTCATGAGCCGTCTTTTCAACTAATAGCTCTGTTTGATGTCTTCTGACTGGTATCCTAGTTACCAGAGAAAGCCTAAAATAGGAGTAGGGAGAGGCCCAGATGCGCTTTCACACAGAAGTTGAGAATCTAATCTTAACAATAACCAGCACAAATGGACTGGAAGTATGGCTCATGGATAAAGTGCCTGCCTAGCAAGCACAAGGCCCTGGGTTCAATCCCTAGGAGGACGTGTGTGTGTGTGTGTGTGTGTGTGTGTGTGTGTGTGTGTGTGTGTGTGTGTGTTTATTTCACAATGCCATAACCCATCTGCTCTTTCAATGTCATTTAAATAACCAGGATTGGCAATTCTCAATCCTCACTGGGGAAAAATCTTGACAGGCCTGGGCTGGGAAGGTGGCTCAGTGGTAGAGAGCTTGCCTTGCATGTATGAGGCCCTGGGTTTGATTCCTCAGCACCACATAAGCAGAAAAAACAAAAGCTGGAAGTGGCGCTGTGGCTCAAGTGGTAGAGTGCTAGCCTTGAGCTGAAGAGCTAAGGGACAGCGCCCAGGCCCAGAGTTCAGGCCCCATGACCGGACCCAAAAAAAAAAAAATCTTGACAGGCCTGAGAGTGATTTTGTCACATTGCCAAACTGATTTTATGTCTCCTAGCAAATTTCATCTTGAAGATGTTAGCTTTGAAAATCTCAAGCTATTTTCCCCAATTCTGCATCAGAAGACTTCATTTTGCTGAGTTTGAAAGGAATAGCTTGAAAAACAATAATAATTTAGCACATGTGTTGTATTCTGCAGTGCTCAAGATAGCAACCAATGTGCAATGAAAAAGGAAAAAAATAGCTTACTAAAAAAAAAAAAAAAAAGGAAGTAAGCTTTTTAATGTCAAGCATAAATGTGGCAAAACACAATGCTACAAGAATAAAAGAAATTAGGGACTGGGAAGGTGGCTCAGTGGTAGAGCGCTTGCCTTGCATGCATGAGGCCCTGGGTTCCATTCCTCAGCACCACATAAGCAAAAAGGAAAAAGCCGGAAGTGGTGCTGTGGCTCAAGTGGTAGAGCACTAGCCTTGAGCTGAAGAGCTGAGGGACAGTGCCCAGGCCTAAAGTTCAGGCCCCACAACTGGACCCTCCCCCCAAAAAATAAATAAAATAAAGGAAATTAAAAGTTTCTAAAAAATTCTTTGATGTTGTTGTTTCTTTTCTTTCTTTCTCTTTTTTTGGGGGTCCTGAACTCTGGGCACTGTCCCTCAGCTCTTCAGCTCAAGGCTAGCACTCTACCACTTGAGCCACAGCACCACTTCCGGCTTTTTTCTTATGTGGTGCTGAGGAATGGAACCCAGGGCCTCATGCATGCAAGGCAAGCGCTCTACCACTGAGCCACCTTCCCAGCCCCCAAAAAATTCTTTGAAAAAGTTTTTTTTTTTTTTTAAGTTGTGCGGCCTGAACTCTGGGCCTGGGCACTGTCCCTCAGGTCTTCAGCTGTAGGCTAGTGATCTACAACTTGAACCACAGTGCCACTTTTGGCTTTTTCTGCTCATGTGGTGCTGAGGAATTAAACCCAGGGCTTCATGAATGCAAGCAAGCACTCTACCACTGAACCACCTTCCTAGCCCCTGAAATTTTTTTTTTTTTTTGGGTCCGGTCGTGGGGCCTGAACTCTGGGCCTGGGCTCTGTCCCTCAGCTCTTCAGCTCAAGGGTAGTGCTCTACCACTTGAGCCACAGTGCCACTTCCAGCTTTTTTTCTTTTTGCTTAGTGGTGCTGAGGAATGGAACCCAGGGCCTCATGCATGCAAGGCAAGTGCTCTACCACTGAGCCACCTTCCCAGCCCCTGAAAATATTTTTTTATGGTAGTCCTGGAGTTTGAACTCAGGGCCTCTAGGTTTGTTTGGCTGATATTCTACCACTTGAACCATATTTCTAGCCTAGTTGTTTGCTAATTATTTTCAAGATGGAGTATAACAAGCTTTTCTTCCTAGGGTAGCTCAAACCATCATCTTCCAGATTAGCTAAAATTACAAGTGTGAACCACCAGTACTAGGCTAAAAGGTATGATTCTTGGGCTGTGTCTGGGAATGTAGCTTAGTGGTAGAGCACCTCCTTAGTTTGGGTTTGATCCTTAGGGTTAGAAAAAACAATTAACTATGTTTCTTTCAGTAGACATTTAAAGAAAATGGTAACATTTAATAATGCTAATACTAGAAACATTCTTTATGATTTAGCTTCTTTGAAATATAGACAAACATATATATAGAGAGATAGATGGACAGACAGACAGACAGACAGATATGTTTTCTTTGGTTGGTCATGGGGCTTGAACACTGGGCCTGGGCACTGTTCAGCTCTTCAGTTCAAGTGCTCTGCCACTTGAGGCACATAGCCACTTCTGGTTTTCCGGTGGTTAATTGGAGATGAGTCTCACAAACTGGCTTTGAACTGTGATCCTCAGATCTCAGCCTCCTGAATAGCTAGGATTACAGGCATGAGCCACCAGTGTCTGGTTAGATTATTTTGTTGTTGTTGTTGTTGGTCGAGGGGCCTGAACTCTGGTTCTGGGCGCTGTCTTTCAGCTCTTCAGCTGTAGACTAGTGCTCACCACTTGAGCCTCAGCCTCACTTCCAGGTTTTTCTGCTTATGTGGTACTGAGGAATCGAACCCAGGGCCTCGTGCATGCAAGGCAAGCACTGAGGCTCTACCACTGAGCCACCTTCCCAGCCCCTAGATGAATATTTTTGTGTGTGTATGTGGGTATTGGAGTTTGAATTCCAGGCCTGGACATGGTCCCTGAGCTTTTTTGCTCAAGGCTGGTACTCTGCCATGTGAGCCACAGCTCCACTTCTGACTTTTTCTTGTATGTGTGATTAGACATAAGAGTCTTACAGACTTTTCTGCTTAGGCTGGCTTCAATCCATGATCCTTAGTTCTGAGCCTCTTGAGTAGCAAGGATTACAGGGTGAGCCAGAGGTGCCTGGTTGCACATGAAATATTTTGTGTGTATCTATAAAAAGATATGTATCTTCATTGCATGGCAGATGTTTAGTAAAAAGCTAGATGTCTAAGCAACACTGTAAAAACCCACTATCAAACAAAGCTGTGGAAGTGGAGTTGTGGTTCAAAGTAGAACATTATCCTTGAGGAAATGAGCTTGGAGACAGCACCCAGGCCCTGAGTTCAAGCCCCATACATACACACACAAAGGCATACATACACGGAGATTTACATTTAAATCATTAAAATGAACATTAATAACTTCAAAAATCAACATATTTAATTTGATACTGAATCAATCTACATAGACTCGACTAGCTGTTGATACACACACACACACACACACACACACCAAAAAAAGAAAAAAAGCCTCCTGGGCTACTTTTCTTTTAATCGTGGTAAATGACACGTAACATAAAATTTAGGACTTTTCCATTGTCCGAGATTTACCTTCTTCCTGTGTTTATTTTCAGACTCGCCACTAGGAGGCAGTCGAAGAGAACACATCAACCTCGGTACCTCGCGCCTCGATTCCGGACGCATGCGCGCCTCACCTGCAAGAAGAGGGCAGGACCGAGGGAGGCGTGGGCGGGGCCTCACGCCGCGCATGCGCGGAGGGTTTTGTGACGTCAGGCAGCGCGGTCGGGCCGGGATCTCTGGCCCGCCGCTCGTCGAGGCGCTGCCGGAAGGAAGCGTGACGCGCGGACTCGGTTCCCCGGCGGCCCGCAAGCCCGCCGGCCTCGCCGCCTTCCTCCCTCGCTCCCGGAGCCCGGCCCAGCGTCCGGGACGGAGGCCTGGGGCGACGCGGCGCGGAGAGCGAGGGAGGGAGGGAGCGAGGGAGGGCTGACGGGCCGGCGGGCGGGCGGGCCACGGGAGCGCCGGTTCCTATATGGCGGCGGCTCTGTCGGGCCTGGCTGTCCGGCTGTCGCGCTCGGCCGCCGCCCGCTCCTATGGGGTCTTCTGCAAGGGGCTGACCCGCACGCTGCTCATCTTCTTCGACCTGGCTTGGCGACTGCGCATCAACTTCCCCTACCTGTACATCGTGGCTTCCATGATGCTCAACGTGCGCCTGCAGGTGAGCGAGCCGCGCCCTCCTGGACCGCGAACCCCAGCACCCCAGTTCCTGCCCGCCCCCCACTCTCCCCTCAAAGAATGGCCTAGCGCCGCCCTCAACCGGGGGAATCCACACCCCTGGCCCACATTGGAAAATGAATGTGTGCTAAGTAAGCATCGTGCATCTTTCTCATTGCAACCCTACTGGAGAAAAACAAACAGCAAACACCTCCTCGAGGTGGGGTTAGTCCGCCTTCTGTGAAAGGATTCCGGCCCCACGACCCTGAGTGGCGGGGAATGGGCGGGGGGGGGGGGTGGCAAGGTCGGAGGAAGGATGCTAAGGGGCTTAGAAAGATCCTGAAGAAGAAATTTTATTGTTTTGGGACATGAAAATGACAGGTTGTCGAGATCCAGGGGTGGGATTGTGGCAGGATTTTTGGGTTCCTAAACATTTAAAAAAGGCCTTTTTTTTTAAATACCCCTTTGGTATTTTCCTTGAGTCTTTGAATACATCAGAGATTAATGGTGCTTTGAGCAAGGCATCTAATATATTTCTGGTCAAGGGTAGAAGTGATGAGGGGTGGGGATGAAAGTGAGAGAAAGTGAGTTGGAGGAAGCAGAGACAGATGGTTTCTGAGCCTCCCCCCCAAAAAAAAACCACAAAAGAACCAATTCAGATGTGAAACAGTAGCCCGTATTCTCCAGTACCTCCCTAGGACCACTTTTGCTGTATACACGACTGACGTTTCTCCATCTCTTGAATTACAAATACCTTTCCCTCGTGGAAGGGGAAGTTGCGTATTGGGAAATTCTTTCTCAAAGAAAGATGGCCAGATACAGAGCCATTTTTGGATCTTGTGTACAGCTCTGGGAGTGTCACAAGCTCTGTGATAGAGGAGGACTTGTCCTTGGGGAGCTTACAGTCAGTGTGACGTACTTATTTTGTTCCCTGGTGTGTGGAATGAGCCAGGCTCATCCATAGCACCTGATTTTCCCTCCAGATTTGATCATGTTAGAGTGTAATTGACCCTGAAACCCTGAGTGAGCATCTTCAGGTTTTTATTCTCTGGCCCAAGTGAGAGTATATCATATGAAGCCATCTGTTAGAATTGAGGTGAGAAGAACTGGGTTATTTTATTTTGGTATTCCTGGGGTTTGAACTGAGGGCCTCATGTTTGGTTGGCTTGTTTGGTTGGCTAATGCTCTACCACTTGAGTACTGTCTTTTGCTGGTTATTTTGGAGAAAGAGTCTCAGATTTTTCTGCCAAGGCTGGCCTCAAACTACAGTCCTCCTGGTCTCAGCCCCTAGCGTAGCTAGGGTTACAAATGTAAGCCATTGGCACTCTGGAGAACTAGTCTGTTTTAAAGTCTAAAATTGAGCTGTTTTGTGTGAGCAAGGGCTGTGGCATCCTTAAGTTATATTAGGCCACAGGAGTAGAAAACTTAAATCTTTGCAGCAGGTGGTATAAATGAGTAAAGCCTGTTGGATATAGGCCCTGAGGTGAATCAGAAAACCTGCACTCTAGCAGGCTGGCACACTGGAAACATGGGTTCAGTATTTGCCAGATGAAGGGATCTCCAAGGGAGATTTTTAGATATCAAATTAATTCAGACTTAGAAATGTTTGCTTGCAAAACCAAGTTTCTGCAGGCTTTACTTGATCCTCAACCTCCCACTTTGGAACCTTATATAATTTATACTCTTCATAAAATCATTTGAAGAAGCCAAGCGAGGTAGCTCATGCCTGTTATTATGATAGCTATTCAGGAAGTTGGGATTTGAGGCTAAAAGTTTGAGAGACATCCTCTCAATCAATAACTGGGGGTGGTGGTGCACATCTGTCATCCTAGCTATAATAAGCATAATACAGTAGGAGTATGGTTCAGATGTGGGCCTGGACAAACAGACCCTTCTCTCAAAATAACCAGTGCAAAAAAGGGCTAGATATGTGACTCAGTAAGTAGAATTCCTGCCTACTAAGTGCAAGTCCCTGAGTTCAAACCCCAGTAAACAAATGTGTGCACACACAGACTGAGAAATTATCTACTACATGATGCTTTTATTGTTGTACTAGAAAACCTTTCCATATATTCACTTTCCTATTTATGACTACCTTTTTAGCTAAGCCATTATAACCACTGCCTGGACTATTTTAAACACATTTGTTAGGTTATATTGTTGCTTTTAAAGTTAGGGTCTCATGTAGCCATGCTGATCCTCCTGCCTCAGTACTGCCTGATGGTTAATTACAGGCATGTCCCACCATGCTGGGCTATAAGTCACAGATCATTCCATTCTTTTTTTTTGGTGGGGGGGATCCGGTTGTGGGGCTGAACTCTGAGCCTGGGCGCTGTCCCTCAGCTCTTCAGCTCAAGGCTAGCGCTCTACCACTTGAGCCACAGTGCCACTTCCGGCTTTTTTCCTTTTGCTTATGTGGTGCTGAGGAATGGAACCCAGGGCCTCAGGCATGCAAGGCAAGCACTCTACCACTGAGCCACCTTCCCAGCCCAAGATCATTCCATTCTTAAATCACGACCCCTTTCTCATGGAATGCATTTCACTCTGCAGATCTGCCTCCCATCCTTCTGTCATTTTTTCACCTGGCTTGCTCCTTGCTTACTTGGCTGGCTCAGGGTTTCCTGCCCTCTGCTTGTATCTAGCACTTTCCTGCCCTTGGACATTTGCACAGGCTATTCTTTCCATTTTGAATGTTATTCCCAGGTGCTTTGAATGCAGATACTTTACACATTTGCATTCTTCCTTCAGGGAGGACTTTTGTGGTCATGTATCTCCATGATCCTGTACCTGCTTTCTCTATTACAGGAGAGCTGGAGGCTTGTTTGTGGTATTCAGAGGCTCCATTTCCAGGGTGATGCTCAGGGTTTCCACATGGCTCATTTGTTGGACACTGAGATCATCTTGAAAGGGTTTTCTGATCCAAGTTTCATAATGCAGAGTGTGCATGTAATAATTATTGGAGGAGGGAAGCTAGATCAATAGAGTGATATGGGCCTTTGGAATGCAGACATATCAATCTCAAAAGCCCATAATCGGTGACTTACTTGATGGACTGGATATCAGAGCTTTGACACTGTGGAAACTGAATGGGAGCTTTTAGGTCAGGGGCAAGGGGGCACAGGTGGAGGGTGGCTCAGAGATAAGCCCATCACCAGGTATCTTAGGCAGGGGTTCTGTTAAGAGCTCTGCCCGGCACCGGGCACCAGTGGCTCACGCCTGTAAACCTAGTTACTCAGGAAGCTGAGATCTGAGGACCAAGGTTCAAAGCCATCCCGGGCAGGAAAGTCTGTGAGACTCTTATCTCCAATAAACCACTAGAAAGCTGGAAGTGGTAGAGTGCTCGCCCTGAGCTAAAGAGCTGAGGGATAGCTCCCAAGTCCAGAGTTCAAGCCCCACAACTGACAAAAAAAAAAAAAAAATGCTCTGCCAGGGTTTTAGGCTTGATCTTGGGCATGACTGAGTGCAATAGGCAACCTTTTCACATCCCTGAGGGTGGTGGAGTGTCTAAGCACACCCATAATACTACCATCTGCTTCTGTCAGTTCTGTGGGTTTTAGAGAGTGTGTTCATTTACGAAGCAGCACTAGCTTACCTGGAATGAGATTTCTTAACCTGGCCTCTGGTCGGGGGAGTGCAGTAGGACAGAAGCTGAGAGGGAACATCCTCAGCTCAGTGCCCTGCCCCTTCTTTAGGGGGGAAGGTAATACATTTCCTCATGTTTACTTAGGTCCCCTAGATGTCTTCTTTGTAGGACAGTGAGGCATTTTAAGGAGGCTATTAGCTCTTTAGTATAAAGGTAATTGAACGGGAAAGTAAATGTGAAAAAAGAATTGTAGACTGAGAAATGTTATGGTTTTAAGGTACTGTTTGCAAGCCAGGTATTGTGGCATACAACACACCTGTAATCCTGGCTACTCAGGACTGAGGCAGGAGGAGCACTTGAGCCCAGGAGTTGGAGACCAGCTGGCATTATAAGACCCTGTCTGAAAAGGAAGAAAGGAAGGAAGGCAAATGAAAAAGGTTCTGTGGCAAGTCTTAATAATCTCTGGAGTTGTTAATATTGCATTTATTCATGTGAAATATGAAGTACAGTAAAAGATTTTATACTAAACAGTAAATATAAAGCAAGATTTGTAAAAAAAGCCATGCCTACAATTTTTCAGGTTATATACCTTAATCTTTGTTCACTTGGATTCGTGGACTTCATGGACTTTCTGGCTTGGAACCATGATTTTCAAATCTTAGGCTCTTGAGAAGCTTGGATTACAGGCATGAGCCACCAGTGTCCAGCATCAATTAATTTTTTGTTTATGGGATCAAATGAGCTTTTCAGACTTTGGGTCTTCTTATCAGTAGAAAGGCCTTCCCACTTAAAGAAGGTGAGGAATTTTCCTATATCCTGGCATTGTTGCTCATTTATTTGTTTGTTCATTCAGTGCCAGCTCTGGAGTTTGAACTCTGGGCCTGGCCGCTATCCCTGGATTTATTTTGCTCAAGACTAGTGTTCTACCACTTGAGCCACAGCTCTACTTCCAGCTTTTTAAGTAGTTTTAATGAAGATAAGAGTCTCACAAGGCGGGTGCCAGTGGCTCACGCCTGTCATCCTAACTACTCAGGAGGTTGAGATCTGAGGATCTCAATTCAAAGCCAGCCTGGGCAGGAAAGTCCCTGAGACTCTTATCTCCAATAAAAACCACTAGAAAACCAGAAGTGGCGCTGTAGCTCAAGCGGTAGAACGCTCACCTTGAGCTGAAGAGTGTAGGGACAGCACCCAAGCCCAGAGTTCAAGCCCCACAACCAACCAAAAAAAAAAGTCTCACAGACTTTCCTGCCCAGGCCTTTGAACCAGGATCCTCAGATTATCAGCCTTCTGGGTAGCTAGGATTATATGAGCCACTGACCCCGGCCACACCTTTTCTTTTTTTTTTTGCCAGTCCTGGGTCTTGAACTCAGGGCCTATGCACTATCCCTGAGCTGCTTTTGCTCAAGCCTAGCACTTTACCA